GCAGGCTTTATTAGTTTTTTTCAACAATTTACGAATTATTAAATTAAAYATACGTGAAAGTKCTAGTCCCGCTGTACGTTAAATAGTAATATTTTGGGAAAAAGCAAGAATTCCTGTACAAGAAATTCAGCATTGTATAATATCTAAGCTTGAAAAATTATACAATGAATGGAGGAAACAGTTCAAAAAACTTTGAATGCTTTAAAAAAAAATTATGCATATATATTTCTTTTATTTTTCAACTGCTACTGTTACAATGTGTTAGGAGCCTTGTATTTAATTTTCAAATCTTAGATCTAAAAAGAAAAACTTTTATGAATTTCTATCTAAGATAATWTGAAAATTTCCGTAATTTTTACGTATTAAGTCAATATTTGAACTTCAAATGCTAATAAAAAAAAATTGTGCATATGTATTTTTATATTTTTTAATCACTATAAGAATAACTTATGAGGAACTTTGTATTAAATTTTCAAGTATTTTGATTTTAAAAAAATTTCAGAAAAATTGAAAATTTCAGTCGTCTATCAATATCTCAAAAAAGTCAAAATATTTTGAAAATTAAATCTTGTAAAGAAAATGCCAATATAAATAACTGGTGAAATTTTAAAGTATCTACGACTTATGCTTTTTGAAAAATAACAAATATTTAAAATCGTTTGAGGATAAATCGTTATCGTTACGTTATTTCGTAAAAATTTAAAATTCAAACGCACTTAAAATTTTTCCTATAATGATGCTTCGAGTTTTTTCTCTAGCTACTTGAAGGAAAACTTATGGAAAACTTAGTGTTGTATTTTAAATCTTTAGTTATTAACACAAAAATTTTTATGATTTTTCAACTTCAAAATTACTTGCAAATTTTCGCATTTTCGACAGATTTCGAAAAAATTTTGAACTATAAACGCTTATTAAAAAAAATTGTGACTTACAATTTTTAATTYTTTTTAGTTACAATAAGAACAACTCATAGGGAACCTTGTATTAAATTTTCAAGTTTTTTTGGTCGTCCAACATTTTTTTACCGACATTTCAAAAAAAATTCTCAAAAAAATTGAAAACTTCAGTGGTCTATAAATAACTCAAAAAAAGTAAAAATTTTTTGAAAATTAAACTGTATATAGWTAACACTAACATAAACATTTGGTGAAAATTTCAAGTATTTACAGTGATTACTTTTTGAATTACAACCATATAAAAAAATCGATTTGGTCGAAAACTGATTTTGCGTAAAAATTCCCGTTTTTTTGTCATTTTTTTTTTGTTTTTCTCGATTTTTTTGAAAACTGTTGGAAAATGTTTACTTTTGACCTCTATAATGCACCAAGGATCTTCAATTTTACATCGGAAACCACCCCCAAAATTTGAAATCGAAGCATTATTTCGACTAGTTATGCTGTGTCGTAATGTATTGTATAATCAATGCATTCATCACTTCCTTCAGAATCTAAAAGAAGTCGTGTTCACCTCAAAATCGGTAGATTTATTCGACATTGCCCATGCGAACGCWTTGAATATGATAGGTAATCATTTTTACTATGACACATTAATATATTGTTTAAAAATGTTTAAAAAACATTTGTTATTATAGGTATCCAGGTACCAGCTAACGATACTGCTACTATAMCGTTTCATTCTTATTAAAATTAAGCTATTTAATTGGTATAAGACATAAATGATATAACACAATACAAGTACATAACAGAATCATTTTCTACTTTTAAAAATGTAAAACCACTTACTAATTTGTCCTTTTCACCGAGATTATCAGCTTGTAATTTAGGTGTTTTTGTGTAGTATGATGAAATAGTGTTTTTTCTTTTAATACCTTCTTTGGTACGCTCCATAGTTAATTATAATATTGCAAGTTAAAACTCAAACGTGTACTTGCGAAAATACGAAAAAATGCTGAACTTGTTGCAATCATTTGATATTAAATATCAAATGAATAAATATTTTATGAACATATTTTATTGATTATTTTTATTTGGTATCACAGAAGACAGAACTGATAAGTATGATAACATTCAGATTTCAGATAGATCGGATGATATCATAGAGATGCATTCTCTAATGATGAAGTTGTAAACAGTATACTCTTACGTACACGCTGCATTAAAAGATATCTTGTATCGTACATGAAACGAGTAAACAATAAAATGACACAGAATGGTTTAAAATAATAATTAATGCTGGGACTCGGTTTGTGCTTTACATCATAAATTTTGTAATATAAAACATAGTATACCACGGCTTAGAGGGGGGGAGGGGTGTTACTACACCTGTAACACCCTCCTGGCTATGCGCCTGTACCTAGGTATGTTAATACTTAATAATTACTGGTAGGGAAAAAACATCAAAGAGTTATGCCACAATTATAAGTGTTTGAAATTTTATTTTCCATAAACACCGAACTATTGTTATGCACGTAATGTCTAGACTACAGTTGTTATTAGGTACGAATTTAATTTAAAATTATTTAAAAGTGAACTAGCCTCAAATTCGAGAAGCAATATTTTAGGTATTTAAGTTTCAGATCAGATACCTACATGATAATACAGTATTATGGAAGTTTGAATTAAATATAGTAATGTAAAAACGACAACGTTCGCTTGAAAGATAATATTAAAAATTATTAATATTTGACTTTGACTAATAATGAAAAAAAAAATGCTCTGATATTATAGCATTAATAACAATAAAGGTAATAATTTATATAATAACTATGAAAAAAATATGAATTAAGATGAATGCTATTTAATAGTGATTATATGGTTCGTTTGTAGTGAACAATTTTTTTTAACAAAATATTAATGCAATTTAAATAAAAGCTCTAAAATTCGGTTACCGCGGTATCAGTTCTATATAATATTTATAATTCATATAAATTTGTATTTTATTTATACTTAAATATGTAAAAAAGTTTAGTTTAAAATATTTATAATAAATATTATTTTTTTAATAAAATTTAGTATTCTATACAATAGCTAAAAATTTTAGTGCACTAAAAATATTATATTTTGTAAAATAATCATGTTATCGTGACTAATAATAATGAAAAAACCTCGTGAGGTGGCACGGACAATGCTTAGGTATTTACCATATAGTCACATAGTTTGAATTACGAGTTCATTAATAATAATAAATTTTAAATAAAGAATCAAAGGAAAATGATGTATAAAGTGGACAATGGTTAGACACTCTCAACACATACTGCAGTAGGTATCTCATGGGTTTTAAAACCCTTCTCATAACATATTCTCCGGCTGATACTTCTCCTGTCCATGCCATCTCCACTGTGGGTGGTATTTATTCTATCGTGCAGGTGGAATTGTTCACGAAGTTGATGTCTTCAGGCCAGCGATACATTCAGATGGACACCAATTCCATCGTGATACTGTGGAGTACCTAGGTCCTGTATCTTAACGTTCGAGACGGTTAAAAGGTATAAAAGGTAAGAAGAGAAAATGAAAAATATGCGATTTAGGTAACGAGCGAGTGATTTCTTAATTGGTCCACATTATAGCATTGTATAATATACGGGGCCGTGATGGTGGCGGCGGCAACGTAAACGATCAATATAATGATCAAAATGTGATAAATAATAATAATAAATAATAATTATGTAGATAAATTGACTTATATAACATTTTTTGGGTACCYATAGTTAGAACGCAAGGATCAATTTTTAAGCTCAGTAAATAGTTTCAAAAAATGTTTTTCGTGGAACATGTATCTGAGGAAAATAAATAACTAACACAGTGTTTTTTTTTTGAAAAAAAATATTATTGTTGTCTTCTTACTAAACATATTTTTTTGGTTACAAAAAAAAATTCTATTTAGTCTTACGTACACCTTATTTAAAATAATATTACTGTTAAATACAATAATCTTATATTACTAAAAAAAAATAATATAATAATAATAATAAATGTACAACAACGACTTGTCTTAAAGTTATAAAATATTTTAACAAGTATATTTAAACAAATTGTATTTACAGTATGTAGAAAAATCCGTAGTTTCTAAAAAATGAACGTGAAATTAATATAATATCGTATACATACATATATATTATGTATACTTATAAGTAATAACTCGTAAACAGTATATATAATATGTACGTACTTTTATGCGTATTACGGTTAGATACTTTTTTTTTTTTAATGGATGGAATTTCGAAGAAAATACGTAGTGGTACCTACGATGAAACTAAAATAGATAAAAATCATGCAAGTCAAAAATTCTATACATGATGAAATATTATTCAATATTGCTGATTAAAAAAATGGGAAGGAGCTAGTTAAAATTAATTATTTGTTAAAAATTATTCGTGATTTTTTTGTTGTTTTTTTGATGTTATTTTATGTTTTTATATAATAACTTAATAAATTTAGCGCCGGGGGAGTGTCTAAGCATTACTATTAGCTAGACTAACGCTACGCAGTGAAGGCATACAATTTTTGTTGGAATACGTACGCGTTGACTGTATTTTTTTTTAACCTTATTTWAAAAAATGTTTTGAGCTCGCTTAAGGCTCTAATCGCATCGGAAATAATAATAATTTATATAAATAAATATAATTTAAGTACATTATTAAATTAAGTGAACAGAGATACTTTAACAAACTAATATAACTAAAAATACAAAGTTGATTGTATTACGCTAAGAGTGTGTGTGTGTGAGGGGGGGGGGAGGGATAAAATTTGTGATAACCGAGTTTTATTGTCAAAATAAATACATAAAAATAATAGTTGTAATAATAATCATAATAATAGAAATAAAATAATGCAAAAAATGAATTAAATAATCATGATATAGGTCCTACACACTATAATGAATAGTGTTATGTTTTTTAAACGTCACGACCGTGTATTGCTATAACAAAGCACCATAACTTTACTGTTAAATGTATAATAATAAAGAGCCACGCAAAAAAATTGAAATAAAAATTGTAAAAAAAAATAGAACGGAAAAATAATATGAAGCTCACTCTATCATATTATAAAATATTATGTCTAATTGGGTAGTATAATAACATATTATTTCCATATATTTAATAAAAAAAAAATCTAACAGCTACATTATCACAGAAGATTGTAGATAAAATATGTATATATCGTTAAAAAAAAAGGTAGGTAATATATTATAATATAGTATAATATCGCCTGTCGCTCGTCGCGGTTATAGTTCAAAGCTTATGTAGGCAGTCTGTACATTAAATTCTAATTATTAATATTAAAGTACATAATATACATTATACATATAATTATATACAATATATACGTATATACGCGTACATACATTTCCTGTATTACGTATTTGGTACAAACACTTATAGGTACCWACAGGTGTATATTATGTATTACGTGAATCTGCATTAAAATATAAAAAAAAATCTTTTTACACTATATTATACTTAATGACTATGGCGACGACGACAACTAATATGATGACGTTTTTTACCTCATACAATATATTGTGTGTATACATTGTTAATACATTTGTTTAGCTTTTTTCCGCGGCGTTGGAACGACTGACACGATGATTACGGTGTATTATCATAACATTAACGCATATTATAGCGTGTACACGGGATGTGGCTGGGTGTTTGCGGTGGCTGTGGTGGTAGTGGTGTCGGCGACCGTTGTTTCAGCGGCACCTCGTATATTATTGTATATTATAGTATCCTCCTTATAGGGCTGGACTTGCGTTTAATTCGTTTGACAGGAGACCCTGGGCAATCGCGGTCTCGTTTTGTCTTGAGCTACTGCATTGCTGTGACATACATAAAAAAAAAACATAGACGATATAATAATGTTTTGTTGTAGGTACTATGTATATAATGTGAGTAAACATAGAAACCTATATTATTATTTGCGTTCAGTAACGCACGAGTAGATCATCATCATCATACAAATGATATACACACAAAATTAGTTGTCTGGTTCTTTTGTTTTGAGATCAATAAAAAAATAAAAAATATTAACACCCCTAAGACCCTAAAGCGTATAGATATATAACGTATTGTACACAACTGCTGGTATTGAATTTATATAGACGGGTTTGGATCAAAGGTTTAAAGTATATATTATATTTTAGATATTATAAAATAGAATCTTTACTTGGGAGAACTTTTTGATCCCTTCGGAGCCTGAGATTTTTTTGATTTTTATCATACAAATAATTATAATAATAGTACGCTAACTTAATTTGTGTGTTCGAATATTATGTTCGTGAGCATGTAATCGAATTATTGTGTATTAATTTATGTATACGTGCATATCGAGGATATCGATTAATCGAGCAATTAAATCCGGAATAGTATATAATATTATAATATATAAAAATATATGACACGKCACGACAGATGTTCGCGCGTGATACGAGAAAATTCAATATTATTAAATGTATATATCGTGATACRAAAAACTCAATATTATTAAATGTATATTTCGTGATACAAGAAAACTCGATACTATTGAACGTATATATGTATTATATTAATCGACGCGGTAGTTTGCCGAATAATTAATGATGACGTCGTTTACGGACTGCATTAAAATATCGTACGCGTCTTAATTCCTCGAGAACTTTTTCAATTACTCGACGAGTCGTTATCCGAATTTAAGCATGTCCGAAACGCTAATCGGCGTGGTGAAAAGTTTTTCACGGATTCCGATATAACGGTTTCTTGGCGTCAGTCGTCGCGCACGCGGTATCTTTTTGGCTCGTACTCGGAATCAACCCCCTTCTCCCTCTCCCACCCTTTTTGAAATTTGATTTACTGTCTCGTATAATAAAAACATCGTTTATACAGCGGCTATAACTTTAAACGTTATTAAACGACGAGCAGAATAATTTAAACAATTCCCTCTAAACACGAGTCGAGAATAATTAGATTACGGCGTTCGATAAACATGGAAGGAAAAAAAAGAATTCGTTTGCACGGTAAAAGGCGTCGAGGTGCTGCACAATAATACGCCGGGATATAGATTGCCGAAAGTAAGCCTCACCTCCCCAAAAATCTATACATTTCACATCGTTCGGTCTTGTCCCGTAAAACGTTATCTACACTTTGTTTATATTTATTYGTTAACGGAGAGTAAAAGGTCTGTCGATCGATAAATTTCTCCGCAACCCTCGAGATCTCACGATTTGAGTTTGTTTTTTGTTTTGTATAGTCACCTCCCACCAGTAGGTAAGTACATTCCRACAAATTCATTTCATTATCTCGTTATAATACGTTATTATACTCACAGCTTGTTTTTTCTCCCAAGATTTCATCGCACTCTTGTACTTCTGGAACTCGTGGCACCAGTCTGAGTACACCCGATGGTAGTCTGACGACCGGGCCGGCGGTGAACACCGATGCGCGTCCACTGTCAAGTTAAAGGTGCACAGCAGGGCGCCGGCCAGCTGACAGTCGTATCGGCCGCCGTCCTCTTCTGACGCTCCGACGATCACCATGCCACCTTCAACGGTTGCTATGTATTTTTCCACTCGGCTTTAAAAAAAAATAATATATATATATATAATAAAACACACCTTATATCAGAACTGCGGTAGACAGATACCGTTGAATTCCAATTACAAAAAAAAAAAATTTAAAAATAGAGTTTTTTTTGTCGAGTTGCAACAGACGTTGATCACAATGCGATCTGAATTTATCGTAAATAATTATATTATTATTCGATGACTCGCGTTCATTCACCACTAATAAAACTACGTATTTCGGTTGCCGAATACACTAATGGTATATAATAACAGCATGACCGACGGCGGGATGTAAGACGACGGTCGTGATGCGAGGGACAACAATTCGGTTATCGGATGGCGCGTTAGGAACAAGGGTAGTGTAATTCAACGTGTACGTGAGACGGGGTGGAAAATTAAGAATTATAAACGTGGACGACGACAATGACGGTGGCGGTGGTATCCGCGGTATATATAGGAACGATATGCGGTATATATAGGTGCAGCGCACTGCGTAATTGGAGCGCGATCGTTATACCCACCTACCCGTTATACTACGTATTCGTTGCAGAAAGCTGAAACAATTGCCGAGAGCTCGGTATACCACCCGGAACGTAATAAATGTAAATTCAATTTCTTCGAGCACGGGGACCGCGTATATTTTGGTATATCATGTAGTACCGTGTACGGTTGTCAGCGATTCCTCGGGAAAATACGTATTCTCATCCTTTACTCGGAGAGCTTCGAGTTTATGATTTAATTTCTTCGCACAATTCCCAAGTYGCCCCCAGCTGCAGTAGTTTGAATAATAAACGAYGTGCCTACCTACTACCTACTATTATTATTATAATCATTRTCATCATCATTATTATGATGACTATACGACATTAACGGCYGCCCCRAATCACTTAATAATATATTGTTATTGTTATTGAGTTTACCTGAACGACACCATGTACCGTCCCTTCTCCTTGCTGTGATGGTACCAAGTTACCGGGTAGACTTTCAGCACTTGCGGCATTTTCACGAAACAGCTGAGGTGTACGCTCTGGCCGAATGTCACGGTCARCCTCTTGTTGACCACCGAGCTTTCGCACACGCTCCGCGACGAGTTGGTCACGTCTTGCAGGAGCCTGAGAAAAACCACGAGACGTTCAGTTATCTATTTATATTAAACATCGCCGTATTATAACTTGATGACTTACCCGGGCTGGTAGGGTTTACAGGTCTTGGTCTGTTTGTCCCATCCGCAATACGGGTCGTGGACGCACCGCAAACAGCTGTCGTACCGGTGAGTGCACATTGACAAGTATATCTGTCTGACGCTCTCGTCGGAAGCCACGTATAGTGCCTTGTGCTGGAAAAGCAATATAAARTATATATAATAGTAATATTAGAAACGTGAGTCGTGTACACATAATATAAAATTTCTATATCGGCACGATGAAACGTATACTTTATCATTATTGTTCACTAGTGAGTAAACAATCGAGGGAGGCTGTCTAAACTATAAACAGTATTATGTTACTCAATTAATTTATTTTGAACATTTGAACTAATATTAAACAATAATTATTAACGTAAATAAAACAGCAATGGTTGGTTCAATAAATTAAAAACAAAATTAAAAAAAATCKATATAGTTGTAATGCGTAAATGAATCAACAAAGATACTCGAAATAAATAAATAATTGATTAGCCTATTTTAAGATAATATGGAATCATTTTTATAGTTTTTTTTTCTATATATACCGACCAAAAATTTTTTGTTTACCACTAATTAACAATTCATGACATTTTAAATTTTAATCGCTAAGAGCCTTAAAAAGTCACCATAAATTTATTGTTCTCGTATGAATCAAAAAAGCCGCACAATAATTTTGTAATTTTAAAAATATTATTCAAAAGCAGCTTAATCTTATCGTCATCATGTTTAGTATTTATAGTATTGTGTCTATATACTTTATTAGTCTATTAGGTATGTTATATTATGCAATGTATTTTAACTATATACAAATTTAGATTTTTAAAATATTTAGTTAAATTGTAAGCTATTTATACCATGAACCTATTCACACCGTTCTTCGATACGTATGTAAAGTGTATTGTTACCAAATAAGTAACAACTAGTTAAATTATATTATAATGACATAACATAATAWGTGATTTGTTTTTGGCATGAATTATTCAAACATATTGCCTATTGTATAGAATAAAATTAAGTCAATAATCGCAGTATAAATAAATTATAATACAATTKACCGATAGACCGTCTCTACTCAGAATTGTTTATAAACTCATACAACATTTTTTCATTAAATTTGAATTTAACGAATCCATTACGTTGCTTACTCAATGACGAGTGACATTCGACACCTACAACTATTATGCACAGGAAAGGTGCCTTGCAGAGCGATTTTTCGTGTATTTTTTAAGCGCGTAATTAAATGTTGAATAAATTATTATTACCATTATTATTTTGCCATACTGTTTCATAACTATGAGGGGATGCCTTTGCAGTCTCAAATACACCCCGGACGAGCCACTGCGGTTAACGGAATACGAGTGGGTTATGTATACCGCGGTATACACGTGTTGTAATGACGTGATGTTATCGCGAGTGCAGTCGAGTGCGAATAACGTTTGGCAAGTCCTAAACAAATATATGGCCGGGTATCGTCATAGYTAGTGGCTGCTGCTGCTGATTGGGCTTTATGAGATTTGTATACATTCACGCGTGCCAAAACTCGGCAGCGGCAGCGATACTACAGCTCTTCTCTAATCAATCGTACCGCGTTCGGGGAGTACCGGAAAGCGCGCATTAATCATACGTGTACCGCAAAAGCTATTTACCGTGTTTAAATAACTACACACACACACACACATATATATATATATGTATAAATCTATTTATTGAGACGGGATGGAATTCGATTTCGTAGTCCGTGTGCCCGAGGCACCGCCGCTGCCAAAGCCGGAATGCATAATATTCATAATAACAACAATAATTTTAAGGTCGCAATCGGACCGAAAGTGTTGACGGAAAAGTGGTGACGTGGAAAACGAGGAGACTTGCAGAAATCGGTTAGGGCAAGGAAATACATTCTTCTTCTCCCTCGACAACCAKCCCTGCTACTATCCCATCCCATGCACGCGGCCATACAACAAATCACGACTGACTGCTGGTTAACAATACAATAATGTATATATATATATATATATAGGTACCTATATATATATAGGTACCTATATATATTATATAACGGAGATATACGCCATTTACAGGTTAATTTACTAAAGGTACCTATGAGTATACAGTCCAACGCTACAGGGAAAATATAATAGTCACTGGTCGTCTTTTCCCCTTGCGCCAGCGACTCGATGAGTCACGTTGCCACTGTTGTATAGTGTTGTTTGCAGGCTCGTTAACGAGGGATTACTAATCGTTCAGATACCATCATTAAAAACGAGAGTAGAAACGTGGTGGTGAGGTCTCCTTAGCTGTGTGTGGCGTCTGATGAACCGTAAAACGGTTTTTAAGCGCGGAAGTATATTTCGTGAAATTACCTCGTTTATCCATGTTTTCTATGTGTCAGGTTTTATATTCTGAACGGTTGAAATTTAAATGATGCGGTTGCTCGTCGCTGATGTACCATCAATGGTGTTGCGTTATCACCTTGCCCTACCTTTTTTGATGGACTCTTAACGGTCTTTGATTACATCTATCTATACGCTTRCCTTGTTTATAATGTAGCATATAAACTACGGTTCGTTATGCGAAATGCACTTATAAATATCGTTTCGTATAGACGAGAACAAACCCTCTGCGGTGAGCTAGGTATACTATATGCACTATATTATATATATAGTGTACACAGTTTCCGGTGTCAAACGCCATATGAGCATTGGTTTTTGTAAAATCACAATCAAGTGTTACGCGCCAACGCCCCGAGGGGTAGAAATACTCCCCATTAAAATGTAAGCGTGTATTGTACAATGTACATGGGCACAATCTTCAACGTCACGCTGGGGAGGGGATGAAAAATA